TATAGCTCCGTAATCTATGGGTTAGTAGGGGAAACCTTCAGCCCTGAATTCGGGCTGAGTGTCCTAATCGTAGGGGATAGTGGGAAACACTTTGCAGCCCGATTTTGGGCTGATACTCCGAATACGTATGGATTGTAGGGGGAAAAACTTTCTCCATATTCAGGGGGTACTCCGTAATACGTATTGGATTAGTAGGGAAACATTTGCGTCCTGTTTCAGGCTGAGTACTCGGAATACTTTTGGGGATTAGAGGGAAACAGTTGCTCCTGTATTCAGGCGGGAGCTCCGAAACGATTATTAGTAGGGGAAAACCGTTGCATCCTGATATTGGTGAGTAGCCCTAATACGTATGTGGATTAGTAGGGGAAAAACATTCAGTCCTGAATTCAGGCTAGTGCCCCTAATACGTATGTGGATTTAGGGGAAACCTTGCAGTCCTGATTCAGGCGAGTAGCCCTAATACGTAGTGGATTAGTAGTGGAAACACGTTGCTCCTAATTTTTCAGGGAGTACCCGTAATACGTAGGGGGATTATAGTGAAACCGTGCAGCCTGATATTCGGGGCTGAGTAGCTCCGTAAACGTTTGGATTTGGGGAAAACCCCGTTGAGCCCTGATATTCGGGCTGAGTAGCTCCGTAATATATGGGATTAGTAGTGGAAAACGTTGCAGCTGATTTTTCGGCTAGTGCCCGAAAACGTATGTGGATTTTTTGGGAAACCGTTGCCCCCGATATTCAGGTGAGTACCCCCCGAAACGATGTGGATTAGTAGTGGAAACACGTTGCAGTCCTGATATTGGCTGATAGCCCCCGTATACTATGGGGATTGTAGGGGAAACTTGCTCCCTGATTTTCGGGAGTACCCTAATATATGTGGATTGTATGGAAACCTTCATCCTGATATTAGGTTTAGTGCTCCGTAATCTATGTATTATAGGGGGAAACCGTTGCACCCCCTGATATTGGCGATAGCCCGTAAACGTATGGGATTAGTAGGGGAAACCCTTGAGCCCTGATTTCAGGCTGATAGCCCGAAATACGTATGTAAATTGTATGGAAACAGTTCAGTCCGATATTCGGCGAGTAGCTCCGTATACGTATGGGGTTTAGTGGGGGAAACACGTTGCAGCCCAATTCGGGCTGAGTAGCCCAAATCGTATGGGATTTTTGGGGAAACACGTTCGCCCTAAAATTTCGGGCTGAGTAGCCCGTAAAAGTTGTGGATTGTGTGGAAACACTTCACCCTGATTTCAGGCGAGTAGCCCCGAAAAGTATGTGGATTAGTAGTGGAACACGTTGCGTCCATATTCGTGAGTACCTCCAAAATACGATGTGGATTATAGGGGGAAACACTTTGCGCCCTGATTTCAGGCTTAGCCCCGTATACGTTGGTTTAGTAGGGGAAAACACGGCAGTCCTGTTTCGGGCTAGACCCGTAATCTATGGTTTATATGGAAAAACCGTTGCGTCCTGTATTCAGCTGAGTACCCGTAATACGTATGTGGATTAGTAGTGGAACACGTTGCTTTCCTATATTCGGCTGAGTACCCGTAATCTATGGGGTTTAGTGTGAAACCGTTGCTCCTGTTTAGCTGGTAGCTCCCGTATTTGTGGATTATAGTAAAACACTTGCAGCCCGATACAGGGAGTAGCCCCGTAATATATTGGGGTTTATGGGGAAAAACACTTGCGGGGCCTGTATTAGGTGAGTACTCCGTAATAGTATGTGGTTTAGTAGTGGAAACCTTGCAGTCCTGTTTAGGCTGATAGCCGAAATATAGGGGGTTTAGTATGGAAACCTTGCATCCTGAATTCGGTGAGTAGTTTCCGTAATACTTGGGTTTTAGTGGGGAAACCGTTGCGTCCTGATATTCAGGCTGAGTAGCTCCGAAAACGTAGTGGATATTAGGGGAAAACACGTGCATCCTGATATTCAGGCTGATAGCCCGAAATACTAGTGGATTATAGTGGAAACCGTCAGCCCCTAAATTTTTCAGCTGGACCCTAATCGTATGGGGATTAGTAGTGGAAACACGTTGCAGTCCTGATATTCAGGGAGTGCCCCCGTATACGTAGTGGATTATTAGGGGAAACACTTTGCAGTCCTGATATTCGGGAGTACTCCGTAACTTTGTGATTAGTAGGGGAAACCCTTTGCAGTCCTGATTTCGGGCTGAGTAGCTCCTATCTATGTGTTTAGTATGGAAACACGTTCCCCTCCGAATTCAGGCTGAGTAGCTCCGTAATACGTATGTGGATTAGTAGTGGAAACACGTTGCAGTCCTGATATTCAGGCTGAGTAGCTCCGTAATACGTATGTGGATTAGTAGTGGAAACATGTTGCAGTCCTGATATTCAGGCTGAGTAGCTCCGTAATACGTATGTGGATTAGTAGTGGAAACACGTTGCAGTCCTGATATTCGGGCTAGTACTCCAAAACGATGGGGAAATTTTTGGGAAAACGTTGCAGTCCTGATATTCAGGCTGAGTGGCTCCGTAATACGTATGTGGATTAGTAGTGGAAACACGTTGCAGCCCGATATTCGGCTGAGTAGCCCCTTAATATTTTGGGGATTAGGGGGAAAAACCTTTTGCAGTCCTATATTGGCTATATCCGAAATACTTTTTTGGGGATTAGTAGTGGAACACGTTGCAGTCCTGTTTTCGGGAGTACCCCCCCAAATCGTATGGGGTTTATATGGAAACAGTTGCACCCTGATTTTCGGGCTGAGTAGCCCTAATATTTGTGGATAGTAGGGGAAACCTTTGCAGCCTTATTCAGGCGAGTAGCCCGTATACGTTGTGTTTAGTAGGGAAAACGTTGCAGCCCTGATTTTCAGGCTGATACTCCGTAATACGTATTTTGGTTAGTAGGGGAAAACTTGCGTCCGATATTCGGCTGATCTCCAATACTTTTTGGGGTTTATAGGGGAAACACTTCGCCCTTTATATTCGGGCTGATTCTCCGAAATACGTTTGGATAGTAGGGGAAACACGTTGCATCCGTATAGGCGGGAGCCCGAATACGAGTGGTTTAGTGGGGAAAACACGTTGCGCCCTATATTCAGGCTAGTACTCCTAATACGTATGTTTTAGTAGGGAAACCTTCAGCCTATTTTCGGCTGAGTCCCGAAAAAGTATGGGATTAGTAGGGAACATTGCAGTCCGATATTCAGGCTAGTACCCCGAATACGTATTGATTGTAGTGGAAAAGTTGCAGTCCTTTTCGGGCTGAGTACTCCGTAATACTATGGGGGATTAGGGGAAAAAACCCGTTGCAGCCCTGATATTCGGGCTGATAGCTCCAAATCTTTTTGGATTAGAGGGGAAAACCGTTGAGTCCTAAATTTTTCCCGCTGAGTAGCTCCGAATACGTATTGGTTAGGTGGAAAAGTTGCAGTCCTATATTCAGGCTGGAGCTCCTAATACTTGGGGATTAGTATGGAAACACTTTCAGTCTATTTTCAGGTGAACTCCGTAAAACGTTTTGGGATTGTATGGAAAACTTTGGGTCCTTATTTCGGGTGATACCCGAAATACTTGGGATTAGTGTGGAACACTTTCAGTCCTGATATTCAGGCTGATAGCTCCGAAATACGTATGGGATTAGTAGGGGGAAACCTTGCGTCCGATTTCAGGTGAGTACCCCAATACGTATGGGGGTTTAAAAGTGAAACCGTTGAGTCCTATATTCGGCGAGTAGCTCCTAAACTATGGGTTTATATTGGAAAACTTGCAGTCCTATTTCAGCTGATACTCCGTAAATATGTGGATTATAGGGGAAACACTTTGCAGTCCTAAATTTCAGGGCTGAGTGCAAAAGTTTTGGGGATTAGTAGGGGAAAACCCGTTGGCCCTATATTCAGGCTGAGTAGCCCCTAATACTATGTGGATTAAAAAAAAAAAAAAACCCCAAAAACCCAAAAAAAAAAAAATTAAAAAAAAAAAAAAAAAAACTCCAAAGGGGGGGGGAAAAAAAATTGCACCAATTCCAACCCCAAAAAAAAAATGGAACACTTCAGCCGATTTTCGGGCGAGAGTCCGTAATCTTTTGGGGTTAGTATGGAAACACTTGCGTCCTAAATTTCGGCTGGTAGGCCGAAATATGTGTTTAAGGGGGAAAAAGTTGAGTGATATTGGGCTAAAATCCCGAAAAGTAGGGGATTAGTATGGAAACAGTTGCAGTCCGATATTCGGTGTAGCCCCGAATACGTTGGTTAGTAGGGGAAAACACTTCAGCCCTGATATTCGGGCTGAGTAGCCCCGTAAAAATTGGGATTAGTAGGGGAAACACGTTGCGTCCTGATATTCGGCGAGTAGCCCAAATACGTTGTGGATTGAAAGTGGAAACCTTTGCACCCTAATTCAGGCTGAGTGCCGCCTAATACGTAGTGGATTATTGGAAAACGTTGCAGTCCTGATATTCAGGCTGAGTAGCTCCGTAATACGTATGTGGATTAGTAGTGGAAACACGTTGCAGTCCTGATATTCAGGCTGAGTAGCTCCATAATACGTATGTGGATTAGTAGTGGAAACACGTTGCAGTCCTATTTTAGGCTATACCCCGAAAACGGTTGGATTAGTTAAACCTTTCAGCCCTGATTTAGGCTGATAGCTCCGTAATACGTATGTGGATTAGTAGTGGAAACACGTTGCAGTCCTGATATTCAGGCTGAGTAGCTCCGAATACTTGGATTAGTAGGGGAAACCGTTGCAGTCTTATTTAGCGGGTCTCCAAATACGAGGGGATTATAGTAAAAACACTTGCTCCGATTTAGTGAGTAGCTCCGAAATACGTAGTGTTTAGTTAAAAACCGTTGCAGTCCTGATTTTCAGGAGTATCCGTAATACGTAGGGTTGTAGGGGAAAACACGTTGCAGTCCTGATATTCGCAGAGCCCGAATACTATTGGTTAGTAGGGGAAAAATGCAGTCCTGATTTCGGGCTGAGTAGCTCCGAAATCTTTGTGGATTATATGAAACCGACAGCCCTGAATTCATATGCCCCGTAACAGGTGGATTGTAGTGGAAACACTTTTCAGCCTGTATTCGGGCGAGTAGCTCCAAATCGTATGTGGATTAGTATGGAAACACGTGCAGTCCTGAATTAGCTGGGGCTCCGAATACGAGGATTAGATGGAAACACGTTGCGCCTGATTTTCAGGCTGATTACCCCTTAACTTTTGGGGGATTATAGTAAAAACCTTTCACCCCTGATTTTCAGGCTGATAGCTCCGAAATAGTATGGGTTTATAGGGGAAACACGTTGCGTCCTATATTCGGCGGGTAGTCCGAAATCTATGTGTTTTTTTTTAAATTTTTTCTGTAAATTTCCAAAGGGGTTTAGCCCCTCCCTGGCATCCAATTTTTTTTTCAAAAAAATAAATAAAATAGCAAACAATCTAAGAAAATATTTTAATAGCGCCCACACTGGGCATTCATCTCAATTTTTTTTCAGGGGTCGACACGGGGGGTGGGGAGGTAAAAGGGATTTAATGATCTTTTGGGGCGAGGTTTAAAAAATGTCCCCTCCCCCCTCTCACCCCCCCCCTTTTCCACCCTCTCCCCCCTCCCCCCTCTCCCCCCTCCACCCCCTCCACCTCTCCCCCCCCTCTCACCCTCCCCCCCCCCCCCCTTTTACCCCCCCCCCCCCCCCCCCCCCCTTTTTTTTTCCCCCCCCCCTCTCCCCCCCTTTCCCCCCCCCCCCCCCCCTCTCCCCCCCCCCCCCCCCCCCCCCCCCCCCCCCCCCCCCCCCCCCAAAAAAAAAAAAAACCCCCCCCCCCCCCCCGGGGCCCCCCCCCCCCCCCAAAAAAAAATTTTAAAAAAAACCCCCCCCCCCCAAAAAAAAAACCCCCCCTCCCCCCCCCCCCCCCCCCCCCCCCCCCCCCAAAAAAACCCCCCCCTTCTCCCCCTCTCCCCCCCCCCCCTCTCCCCTTCCCCCCTCCCCCCTTTCCTCCCCCCCCCCCCTTCCCCCCTCCCCCCCCTTTTCCCCCCCCCCTCCCCCCTCCCCCCCACCCCCTCCCCCCCCCTCTCCCCCCTCTCACACCCTCACTCTCACCCCCTTCTCACCCTCTCCCCCATACTCCCCCTCTCCCCCTCTCCCCCCTCTCTCTCTCCTCCCCTTTAGGGGAGAGTGTGTTGGTGTGTAAGGAGGCGGAGCGTCAGAAGGGAGTGTGTCTTCTCCAGGGCGCTCTGCAGCCAATCAGCAGCTGCCTGGTGAAGAGGGAGGGGGAGGGGCTAACCACCAGCATGCTCCGAGCCATCCTGGAGGTACAGTAGTCTGACATCTAACCACTGAACTTCTTTCCTTCTTAATGCATTTGAGCCAATCAGTTGTTTGTGACAAGGTAGGGTGGGTATACAGATGATAGCCCTATTTGGTAAAAGACCAAGTCCATATTATGGCAAGAACAGCTCAAATAAGCAAAGAGAAACGACAGTCCATCATTACTTTAAGACATGAAGGTCAGTCAATATGGACAATTTCAAGAACTTTGAACGTTTCTTCAAGTACAGTCACAAAAACCATCAATTGCTATGATGAAACTGGCTCTCATGAGGACCGCCACAGGAATGGAAGACCCAGAGTTACCTCTGCTGCAGAGGATAAGTTCATTAGAGTTACCAGTCTCAGAAATTGCAGCCCAAATAAATGCTTCACAGAGTTCAAGTAACAGACACATCTCAACATCAACTGTTCAGAGGAGACTGCGTGAATCAGGCCTTCATGGTCGAATTGCTACAAAGAAACCACTACTAAAGGACACCAATAATAAGAAGAGACTTGCTTGGGCCAAGAAACACGAGCAATGGCGCCGGAGAAGATGGCTGCCGTTTTACAGCCCTCTAACCAATTGTACTATTATGTGTGTTTTTTCGCGTTATTTGTAATTTATTCTGTACATAATGTTTCTGCCATCGTCTCTTATAACCAAAAATAGCTTCTGGATATCAGGACAGCGATTACTCACCTCGTATTGGACAAAGATTTTTTCTTCAACGAGTCGGACGCGAAGGATATTCTACAGACACCCGACAAGGCCCAAATCCCCGTCATTCGCATGAGGAAGAGACGGAGATATCTGGGACTTAGGTCGGGGTGCCTTGTAAGAATCCGACGGCGAGCGAGTAAACTGCCTCTTCCATCAATCCTATTAGCCAATCTTCAATCATTGGAAAATAAATTGGATGACCTAAGATTACGGTTATCCTACCAACGGGACATTAAAAACTGTAATATCTTACGTTTCACCGAGTCGTGGCTGAACGACGACATGGATAACATACAGCTAGCGGGCTATACGCTACATCAGCAGGATAGAACGGCACTCTGGTAAGACAAGGGGTGGCGGTCTATGCATATTTGTAAACAACAGCTGGTGCATAAAATCTAATACTAAGGAAGTCTCAAGGTTTTGCTCGCCTGAGGTAGAGTATTCCATGATAAGCTGTAGACCACAGTATTTACCAAGAGAGTTTTCATCTATATTTTTCGTAGCTGTCAATCTACCACCACAAACCGATGCTGGCACTAAGACCGCACTCAATGAGCTGTATAAGGCCATAAGTAAACAGGAAAATGCTCATCCAGAGGCAGCGCTCCTAGTGGCCGGGGACTTTAATGCAGGGAAACTTAAATCCGTTTTACCTCATTTCTACCAGCATGTTAAATGTGCAACCAGAGGAGAAAAAAACTCTAGACCACCTTTACTCCACACACAGAGACGCATACAAAGCTCTTCCTCGCCCTCCATTTGGCAAATCTGACCACAACTCTATCCTCCTGATTCCTGCTTATAAGCAAAAACTAAAGCAGGAAGCACCAGTGACTCGGTTAAAAAGGAAGTGGTCAGATGACGCAGATGCTAAGCTACAGGACTGTTTTGCTAGCACAGACTGGAACATGTTCCGGGATTCATCCAATGGCATTGAGGAGTATACCACATCAGTCACTGGCTTCATCAATAAGTGCATCGATGACGTCGTCCCCACAGTGACTGTACGTACATACCCCAACCAGAAGCCATGGAGTACAGGCAACATCCGCACCGAGCTAAAGCATAGATCTGCCGCTTTCAAGGTGCGGGACTCTAACCTGGACCCTTATAAGAAATCCAGCTATGCCCTCCGACGAACCACCAAACAGGCAAAGCGTCAATACAGGACTAAGATTGAATCGTACTACACCGGCTCCGATGCTCGTCGGATGTGGCAGGGCTTGAAAACTATTACAGACTACAAATGGAAGCACAGCCGCGAGCTGCCCAGTGACACAAGCCTACCAGATGAGCTAAATCACTTCTATGCTCGCTTTGAGGAAAGCAACACTGAAGCATGCATGAGAGCATCAGCTGTTCCTGATGACTATGTGATCATGCTCTCAGTAGCCGATGTGAGTAAGACTTTTAAGCAGGTCAACATTCACAAGGCCGCAGGGCCAGACGGATTACCAGGACGTGTACTCTGAGCATGCGCTGACCAACTGGCAAGTGTCTTCACTGACATTTTCAACATGTCCCTGACTGAGTCTGTAATACCAAAATGTTTCAAGCAGACCACCATAGTCCCTATGCCCAAGAACACTAAGATAACCTGCCTAAATGACTACCGACCCGTAGCACTCACGTCTGTAGCCATGAAGTGCTTTGAAATGCTGGTCATCGCTCACATCAACACCATTATCCCAGTAACCCACTCCAATTTGCATACCGCCCCAACAGATCCACAGATTATGCAATCTCTATTGCACTCCACACTGCCCTTTCACACCTGGACAAGAGGAACACCTAAAGTGAGGGGGAAAAAGTATTTGATCCCCTGCTGATTTTGTACGTTTGCCCACTGACAAAGAAATGATCAGTCTATAATTTTAATGGTAGGTTTATTTGAACAGTGAGAGACAGAATAACAACAAAAAAATCAAGAAAAACGCATGTCAAAAATGTTATAAATTGATTTGCATTTTAATGAGGGAAATAAGTATTTGACCCCCTCTCAATCAGAAAGATTTCTGGCTCCCAGGTGTCTTTTATACAGGTAACGAGCTGAGATTAGGAGCACACTCTTAAAGGGAGTGCTCCTAATCTCAGTTTGTTACCTGTATAAAAGACACCTGTCCACACAAGCAATCAATCAATCAGATTCCAAACTCTTCACCATGGCCAAGACCAAAGAGCTCTCCAAGGATGTCAGGGACAAGATTGTAGACCTACACAAGGCTGGAATGGGCTACAAGACCATCACCAAGTATCTTGGTGAGAAGGTGACAACAGTTGGTGCGTTTATTCGCAAATGGAAGAAACACAAAAGAACTGTCAATCTCCCTCGGCCTGGGGCTCCATGCAAGATCTCACCTCGTGGAGTTGCAATGATCATGAGAACGGTGAGGAATCAGCCCAGAACTACACGGGAGGATCTTGCCAATGATCTGAAGGCAGCTGGGATCATAGTCACCAAGAAAACAATTGGTAACACACTACGCCGTGAAGGACTGAAACCCTGCAGCGCCCGCAAGGTCCCCCTGCTTAAGAAAGCACATATACAGGCCCGTCTGAAGTTTGCCAATGAACATCTGAATGATTCAGAGGAGAACTGGGTGAAAGTGTTGTGGTCAGATGAGACCAAAATCGAGCTCTTTGGCATCAACTCAACTCGCCGTGTTTGGAGGAGGAGGAATGCTGCCTATGACCCCAAGAACACCATCCCCACCGTCAAACATGGAGGTGGAAACATTATGCTTTGGGGGTGTTTTTCTGCTAAGGGGACAGGACAACTTCACCGCATCAAAGGGACGATGGACGGGGCCATGTACCGTCAAATCCTGGGTGAGAACCTCCTTCCGTCAGCCAGGGCATTGAAAATGGGTCGTGGATGGGTATTCCAGCATGACAATGACCCAAAACACACGGCCAAGGCAACAAATTAGTGGCTCTAGAAAAAGCACATTAAGGTCCTGGAGTGGCCTAGCCAGTCTCCAGACCTTAATCCCATAGAAAATCTGTGCAGGGAGCTGAAGGTTCGAGTTGCCAAACGTCAGCCTCGAAACCTTAATGACTTGGAGAAGATCTGCAAAGAGGAGTGGGACAAAATCCCTCCTGAGATGTGTGTAAACCTGGTGGCCAACTACAAGAAACGTCTGACCTCTGTGATTGCCAACAAGGGTTTTGCCACCAAGTACTAAGTCATGTTTTGCAGAGGGGTCAAATACTTATTTCCCTCATTAAAATGCAAATCAATTTATAAAATTTTTTACATGCGTTTTTCTGGATTTTGTTGTTGTTATTCTGTCTCTCACTGTTAAAATAAATCTACCATTAAAATTATAGACTGATCATTTCTTTGTCATTGGGCAAACGTACAAAATCAGCAGGGAATCAAATACTTTTTTCCCTCACTGTATGTGAGAATGCTATTCATTGACTACAGCTCAGCGTTCAACACCATAGTGCCCTCAAAGCTCATCACCAAGCTAAGGACCCTGGGACTAAACACCTTCCTCTGCAACTGGATCCTGGACTTCCTGACGGGCTGCCCCCAGGTGGTAAGGGTAGGTAACAACACATCTGCCACGCTGATCCTCAACACGGGGGCCCCTCAGGGGTGCGTGCTCAGTCCCCTCCTGAACTCCCTGTTCACCCATGACTGCATGGCCAGGCATGACTCCAACACCATCATTACGTTTGCCGATGACGCAACAGTGGTAGGCCTGATCACCGACAACAATGAGACAGCCTATAGGGAGGAGGTCAGAGACCTGGCCGTGTGGTGCCAGGATAACAACCTCTCCCTCAACGTGATCAAGACAAGAGGACTGATCACGCCCCCATTCTCATCGACGGGGCTGTAGTGGAACAGGTTGAGAGCTTCAAGTTCCTTGGTGTCCACATCACCAACAAACTATCATGGTCCAAACACACCTATTCCCCCTCAGGAGACTGAAATGATTTGGCATGGGTCCTCAGATCCTCAAAAAGTTCTACAGCTGCACCATCGAGAGCATCCTGACTGGTTGCATCACCGCCAGGTATGGCAACTGCTCGGCCTCCGACCGCAAGGCACTATAGAGGGTAGTGCGTATGGCCCAGTACATCACTGGGGCCAAGCTTCCTGCCATCCAGGACCTCTATACCAGGCGGTGTCAGAGGAAGGCCCTCAAAATTGTCAAAGACTCCAGCCACCCTAGTCATAGACTGTTCTCTTTGCTACCGCACGGCAAGTGGTACCGGAGCGCCAAGTCTAGGTCCAAAAGGCTTCTTAACAGCTTCTACCCCCAAGCCATAAGACGGCTGAACAGCTAATCATGGCTACCCGGACTATTTGCAACACCTTTGTGGTTACTACATGATTCCATATGTGTTATTTCATAGTTTTGATGTCTTCACTATTATTCTACATTGTAGAAAATAGTAAAAAATAAAGAAAAACCCTTGAATGAGTAGGTGTGTCCAAAACATTTGACTGGTAGTGTATACCTGTGTCCTGTCAGATCATCTATATACCTGTCGCCTGTCAGATCATCTATATACAGTGGGGGGAAAAAAGTATTTAGTCAGCCACCAATTGTGCAAGTTCTCCCACTTAAAAAGATGAGAGAGGCCTGTAATTTTCATCATAGGTACACGTCAACTATGACAGACAAAATGAGAAAAAAAATCCTGAAAATCACATTGTAGGATTTTTAATGAATTTATTAGCAAATTATGGTGGAAAATAAGTATTTGGTCAATAACAAAAGTTTCTCAATACTTTGTTATATACCCTTTGTTGGCAATTACACAGGTCAAACATTTTCTGTAAGTCTTCACAAGGTTTTCACACACTGTTGCTGGTATTTTGGCCCATTCCTCCATGCAGATCTCCTCTAGAGCAGTGATGTTTTGGGGCTGTCGCTGGGCAACACGGACTTTCAACTCCCTCCAAAGATGTTCTATGGGGTTGAGATCTGGAGACTGGCTAGGCCACTCCAGGACCTTGAAATGCTTCTTACGAAGCCACTCCTTCGTTGCCCGGGCGGTGTGTTTGGGATAATTGTCATGCTGAAAGACCCAGCCACGTTTCATCTTCAATGCCCTTGCTGATGGAAGGAGGTTTTCACTCAAAATCTCACGACACATGGCCCCATTCATTCTTTCCTTTACACGGATCAGTCGTCCTGGTCCCTTTGCAGAAAACAGCCCCAAAGCATGATGTTTCCACCCCCATGCTTCACAGTAGGTATGGTGTTCTTTGGATGCAACTCAGCATTCTTTGTCCTCCAAACACGATGAGTTGAGTTTTTACCAAAAAGTTCTATTTTGGTTTCATCTGACCATATGACATTCTCCCAATCCTCTTCTGGATCATCCAAATGCACTCTAGCAAACTTCAGACGGGCCTGGACATGTACTGGCTTAAGCAGGGCGACACGTCTGGCACTGCAGGATTTGAGTCCCTGGCGGCGTAGTGTGTTACTGATGGTAGGCTTTGTTACTTTGGTCCCAGCTCTCTGCAGGTCATTCACTAGGTCCCCCCGTGTGGTTCTGGGATTTTTGCTCACCGTTCTTGTGATCATTTTGACCCCACGGGGTGAGATCTTGCGTGGAGCCCCAGATCGAGGGAGATTATCAGTGGTCTTGTATGTCTTCCATTTCCTAATAATTGCTCCCACAGTTGATTTCTTCAAACCAAGCTGCTTACCTATTGCAGATTCAGTCTTCCCAGCCTGGTGCAGGTCTACAATTTTGTTTCTGGTGTCCTTTGACAGCTCTTTGGTCTTGGCCATAGTGGAGTTTGGAGTGTGACTGTTTGAGGTTGTGGACAGGTCTCTTTTATACTGATAACAAGTTCAAACAGGTGCCATTAATACAGGTAACGAGTGGAGGACAGAGGAGCCTTTTAAAGAAGAAGTTACAGGTCTGTGAGAGCCAGAAATCTTGCTTGTTTGTAGGTGACCAAATACTTATTTTCCACCATCATTTGCAAATAAATTCATAAAAAATCCTACAATGTGATTTTCTGGATTTTTTCCCCTCAATTTGTCTGTCATAGTTGACGTGTCCCTATGATGAAAATTACAGGCCTCTCTCATCTTTTTAAGTGGGAGAACTTGCACAATTGGTGGCTGACTAAATACTTTTTTCCCCCACTGTACCTGTCTCATCACCTGTCAGATCATCTATATACCTGTCTCCTGTCAGATCATTGTTGGGGGCGTGGCCAGCTCTCCTCAGGATGTGAGGCTTTATGCTTCCTGTACGCTGCTGGCTGCTGGTGCCCGCTATGACACCACACCAGGGGGCGCCATTACGGAGGGAGGAGGGAAGACGGGAGGAGAGACGGAGGGAGCGATAGAGGCCTGTGTGGAATGGTTGATTGAGAATGAGTTCATATCTATCCAAAGAGAGGGAGATGGGAGTGAGAGGAAGAGAGGGGGGGCAGGAGGAGAAGAGAGGTACTGCCCCACCCACCTGGGTTCTGCCACCCTCTCCTCCTCTCTCTCTCCTCCTGAGGCACTGGGTATCTTCTCAGACCTGCAGAGAGCCATGAAGGGCTTCGTGTTGGACAACGACCTACACACACTCTACCAGGTACCCCCCTCTCTCTCCCTCCAGATACTCTACCAGGTACCCCTCCAGATAACTCCTGTATTTGTATCCTCCAGATAACTCCTGTGTTTGTATCCTCCAGATAACTACTGTGTTTGTATCCTCCAGATAACTCCTGTGTTTGTATCCTCCAGATAACTCCTGTATTTGTATCCTCCAGATAACTCCTGTATTTGTATCCTCCAGATAAATCATGTGTTTGTATCCTCCAGATAACTACTGTGTTTGTATCCTCCAGATAACTCCTGTATTTGTATCCTCCAGATAACTCCTGTATTTGTATCCTCCAGATAACTCCTGTATTTGTATCCTCCAGATAACTCCTGTGTTTGTATCCTCCAGATAACTACTGTGTTTGTATCCTCCAGATAACTCCTGTATTTGTATCCTCCAGATAACTCCTGTATTTGTATCCTCCAGATAACTCCTGTATTTGTATCCTCCAGATAACTCCTGTATTTGTATCCTCCAGATAACTTGCGTGGGTGTGAGTGTGTATTTCGTCTACATCAGTGGATCATTTGTAAGTCACTCTGGATAAGAGCGTCTGCTAAATGACGTAAATGTAAATCTCAACTGGTTTTGCCTCGGGACCAAAATTGAACCAGCTTGTCTCAGTCGCGACCCAATATTCTCAGTTGCAATCATGTTTTTTTTATGCTATATTGACAGTAAATGTAGCGAGTGTTAGATAAGGGAACAACATTCCATTTTCATAGAGAAAGAATGTTGGCAAAGAGAAAGAATGTTGGCAAGCTCACTTGTTTCAGACCACCACATCTGCTAAGTAGTGCTGCTAATAGTAGTAGTAGTAGTAGTGCTAATAGTAGTAGTAGTAGTAGTGCTAATAGTAGTAGTAGTAGTAGTGCTGCTAATAGCTCTATATTGAAATGAAATTACATTTTATTCGTCACGTGCTTCATAAACAACAGTCATAGTCAATTGATCAATAATATAATAATACTTTTAGCAAAAATGTTTATTTTTTATTTACGATCTGTAGAAACAATGAGAATAGAAAGGTTCAGAACTTTTGTGAAACAGTACAGTTGAAAAATATATGGCAAATAGAAATCCAATATGGATGTTGTTAAGAGATAGATGAGAGGTGTTGAATGGAGTTGAAGGATGGGACTAATAACAACTAACAACAACTAACAACAACAAGATAACTAATGTAAAGCATACTGTGTCCATAATAAGTATATAGGTTATAGGTTGAGAGCTTTTGTGAAAGAGCACAGTTAGAAAGATATGGCATATAGAAGCAAACCGGATGGACAACATGAAAATGATCGGAGAGGTTGAGAGTAGAGGAAGTTCAGGAGTAAAAACAAAGGAAATATAATTATTGTAGAATTTGACTGTGTCGATAAAATGTATATAGTATGTATAAGCTGGAAGTAGAGGCCTAAGTAGAAATATCATGGAAATACATTTTAAAAAAGGATGTATGTGTATATATACAGTGGGGAGAACAAGTATTTGATACACTGCCGATTTTGCAGGTTTTCCTACTTACAAAATAATAATTATAAATAATTGGTCATTTAGCAGACGCTCTTATCCAGAGCGACTTACAGGAGCAATTAGGGTTAAGTGCCTTGCTCAAGGGCACATCGACAGATTTTTCACCTAGTCGGCTCGGGGATTAGAACCAGCGACCTTTCGGTTACTGGCACAACGCTCTTAACCACTAAGCTACCTGCTGCCCTGGAAATACATTATTGTAGAATTAAAGCATGTAGAGGTCTGTAATTTTTATCATAGGTACACTTCAACTGTGAGAGACGGAATCTAAAATGACCATCTGGATGATCCAGAGGAGGAATGGGAGAAGGTAATGTGGTCTGATGAGACAAAAATAGAGATTTTTGGTCAAAACTCCACTCGCCGTGTTTGGAGGAAGAAGACGGATGAGTACAACCCCAAGAACACCATCCCAACCGTGAAGCATGGAGGTGGAAACATCATTCTTTGGGGATGCTTTTCTGCAAAGGGGACAGGACGACTGATCCGTGTAAAGGAAAGAATGAATGGGGCCATGTATCGTGAGATTTTTAGTGAAAACCTCCTTCCATCAGCAAGGGCATTGAAGATGAAACGTGGCTGGGTCTTTCAGCATGACAATGATCCCAAACACACCGCCCGGGCAACGAAGGAGTGGCTTCGTAAGAAGCATTTCAAGGTCCTGGAGTGGCCTAGCCAGTCTCCAGATCTCAACCCCATAGAAAATCTTTGGAGGGAGTTGAAAGTCTGTGTTGCCCAGCGACAGCCCCAAAACATCACTGCTCTAGAGGAGATCTGCATGGAGGAATGGGCCAAAATACCAGCAACAGTGTGTGAAAACCTTGTGAAGACTTACAGAAAACGTTTGACCTCTGTCATTGCCAACAAAGGGTATATAACAAAGTATTGAGAAACTTTTGTTATTGACCAAATACTTATTTTCCACCATAATTTGCAAATAAATTAATTAACAATCCTACAATGTGATTTTCTGATTTTTTTTTCTTCTCATTTTGTCTGTCATAGTTGACGTGTACCTATGATGAAAATTACAGGCCTCTCTCATCTTTTTAAGTGGGAGAACTTGCACAATTGGTGGCTGACTAAATACATTTTCCCCCCACTGTAACTCTGGTGTGTGTGTATCCTCCAGATAACTGTGGTGTGTGTGTCCTCCAGATAACTCTGGTGTGTGTGTGTCCTCCAGATAACTATGGTGTGTGTGTATCCTCCAGATAACTGTGGTGTGTGTGTCCTCCAGATAACTCTGGTGTGTGTGTATCCTCCAGATAACTATGGTGTGTGTGTGTCCTCCAGATAACTATGGTGTGTGTGTATCCTCCAGATAACTCTGGTGTGTGTGTCCTCCAGATAACTCTGGTGTGTGTGTCCTCCAGATAACTCTGGTGTGTGTGTCCTCCAGATAACTCTGGTGTGTGTGTCCTCCAGATAACTCTGGTGTGTGTATCCTCCAGATAACTCTGGTGTGTGTGTATCCTCCAGATAACTCTGGTGTTTGTGTATCCTCCAGATAACTATGGTGTGTGTGTATCCTCCAGATAACTCTGGTGTGTGTGTGTCCTCCAGATAACTCTGTGTGTGTATCCTCCAGATAACTCTGGTGTGTGTGTCCTCCAGATAACTATGGTGTGTGTGTCCTCCAGATAACTCTGGTGTGTGTGTGTCCTCCAGATAACTATGGTGTTTGTGTATCCTCCAGATAACTCTGGTGTGTGTGTCCTCCAGATAACTCTGGTGTGTGTATCCTCCAGATAACTCTGGTGTGTGTGTCCTCCAGATAACTCTGGTGTTTGTGTATCCTCCAGATAACTCTGGTGTTTGTGTATCCTCCAGATAACTCTGGTGTGTGTATCCTCCAGATAACTCTGGTGTGTGTGTCCTCCAGATAACTCTGGTGTGTGTGTGTCCTCCAGATAACTATGGTGTTTGTGTATCCTCCAGATAACTCTGGTGTGTGTGTCCTCCAGATAACTATGGTGTTTGTGTATCCTCCAGATAACTCTGGTGTGTGTATCCTCCAGATAACTGGTGTGTGTGTCCTCCAGATAACTTCTGTGTGTGTGTCCTCCAGATAACTCCTGTGTGTGTATCCTCCAGATAACTCCTGTGTATGCTGAGTGGACCACAATTGACTGGTACCAGTTCTGGTGTCTCTGGGAGGCGCTTGGCTCATCCTATAAGAGAGTAGCAGAGCTGGTGGGGGTCCAGGAGAGCTTCCTGGCTCGGTCTGTTAGCGGGAAACTGATCGCCAAGACAGAGCGACAGAGACGACAGATGGCCATACACAAACGGTACAACACGCAAACCAGGGTTTCCGATAGCCGGCCTCTGCCAAAAATATTATAGTGAAAAGTCGATCAATAAACTAAAATCCCAATCATTGCGCAACAGTTCTAAATGCATTCGTATGTTAAAAACCATTTTAAAGGCCACGATTTAAAATAGCTACTATTTTTATTTCTCAACTGGTAATTGAAGTGCGCTTTCCATTCGCCATTCAACTGCATCGTCTATGGAAGGCAGGTTTCACCCTAATGGGTCCGATACATTTTCTTAAATGTCCAGTAAATTAAAATGCTGCCAGTCAAATGTCCAGCGACACATAACGGAAACCCTGGACCACACACACACAGACACTGACACACACACACACACACACACACACAGACACACACACACACAGGACACACACACAGACACACACACCAGACACACACACACAGACCACACACACACACACACACAGACACACACACCGACCCACAAACCCACCCACACACACATCACCACACAACAGCCCACACATACCCCCACCCACCCAGCCACACACACACAAAACCCCCACCCACCCACAACCCAACCACACCCCCCACCCACCCAAACACCCACACCCAACACCCCACCCCCCGAACACCCACACACCACACCGCCACACCACCCAACACACCCCATGGGGTTTCCCCCAAAAACCCCCCCCGGGGGGGGGGGGGGCCCCGGGGCCCGGGGGGGCCCGGGGGGGAAAAAAAATAAGGAAACCGGGCCAAACCCCCCCCAACAAAAAAACCCCAAAACCCCCAAACCCCCCCAAAAAAAAAAAAAAAAAAAAAACCAAAAAAAAAACCCCCCCAAAAAAAAAAAAAAAAAAAAAAAAAAATTTTCCCCCCCCAAAAAAAAAAAAAAACCCCCCCCCCCCAAAAAAACCAAAAAAAACCAAAAAAAAAAAAAAAAACCCCCCCAAAAACCCCAAAAAAAAAACCCCCCCCAAAAAACCCCCCAAACCCCCCCCAAAAAAAAAAAAAAAAAAACACCCACACACACAAAAAACCCCCCCCAAAAAAAAAAACAAAACACAAAAAACCCACCCACAAACAACACCCAAAAAAACCCCCAAAACACAAAAAAAAAAAACCCACAAAAAACCAAAAACCCACAAAAAAAAACCACACAACCCCCCAAAAAAACCCCACACCCCAAAAAAAAACCCCCACCCCAAAAAACAAACCCACCCCCCCCCCCCCCAAAAAAAACCCACACCCCACCCCCCCCCCCCCCCCCCCCCAAAAAAACACCCCCCCCCCCCCCCCCCCCCCCCCCCAACCCCCCCCCCAACCCCCCCCCCCCCCCCCCCCACCCCCCCCCCCCCCCCCCCCTTTTTCCCCTTTTTCCCTTTTTTTTTTTGGGTTGGAATTGGGGTTTTTTGGGAAGGGAACCAAGTACAACTTAGTCGTACACCCTTTTACAGCGTCCCCGCCCCCCACCTATGCAGGTAACCCCCCCCCCCCCCCCCCCCCCAGGTAACAGTCTCTTCAGCATTTGGGTTTCCTGGGGCCCGTAGGGATGGTAAAAAGTTTCCCTTAGTTTAATCGTCCAAGGGCCAGGCCCCGTAAAACCCTAGTTAAAATTTTGGGTTTCCCGTCCCCCAGGCCCTGGGAACGGTTTTCTGCCGGGGGCTTGGGGTGGGAAGCTGGAGTTTCTTCTTTTCCCCCGTACCAGGGCCGGTTGAGCTTTTGGGGTCCCAAGGGGGAAATGAGGACCCCGGCAAGGGGTTTGCTGTGAGCGCAACCAAAAAGCACCGGGCGCTCTATGACCAGGGCCCCGCTACGGGGCCCCGTGGGCCCGGGGAAAAGGGCACTGATGTGGGAGAAGGGCCCTACGCAAGGCTGTCCCCTTTAAGAGGTTAGGAGGAAGGAGGGAGTGTGTTGGGGGGGGTGTGATGGTTTATGTGGTGTGAATTTATGAAATTTTTTTTCCTTTCCAGTTCCCCGTCCCTGCGGTGGATGAGGTGAAAGGGGGGGGCAGCCGAAAAGGCGGAGTTACGGGGTGGGCTGGGTCATTGGGGGGGGGGGCCTAAAAAAGAACACGAGGGGAGCCTTTAGATTTTTGTCTGAGGCCAGGCTCCTCCTCCAGCAAGACCTCGCCCTATTGGGGGGGGCCCGGGAAACCCCCGGGGCACTGGGCCCCGGAGGGCCCGCCCCCCCCAACGACCTGACAACACTTCCCTTGGGGAAAAAAAAAAAAACCAAAGGGGGCCGGGCCAAATCCGGAAAGATGGGAGAGGAGGATGAAAAGAGAAAAAGCCTTGGGGAAAAAGGGGGAAAAGAGGGGGGAGGGAAAGGAGAGGGGGGAGGGAGAAACATGGGTGGGAAAAGAAAGAAGGGAGAGGGAGAGAGGGGAAAAGAAGAACGAGGGAGAGAGGAAAAAGGAAAAAAACAGAAAGAACAATGGTAACCAAGAGAGAGAAAAAGAGAGGGGGATGGAGGAGGGAGAGAGGGAAGACGGGGGGAGTGAAAGGGAGAGAGAGGGAACAGAGAGGAGGAAATGGAAAGGGGAGAGAGGGAAAAAGAGAGGAGGAGTGGAAAGGGGAGAGAGAGGGAACAGGGGGAGGAGTGGGGGAAGAGAGAGGGAACAGAGAGGAGGAGTGGAGAGGAGAGAGGAAACAGAGAGGAGGAGTGGAGGAGAGAGAGGGAACAGAGAGGAGGAGTGGAGGAGGAGAGAGGGAACAGAGAGGAGTGGAGGAGGAGAGAGGGAACAGAGAGGAGTGGAGGAGAGAGAGAGGGAACAGAGAGGAGTGGAGGAGGGAGAGAGGGAACAGATGGAGGAGTGGAGGATGAGAGAGGGAACAGAGAGGCGAGGAGGAGGGAGAGAGAGGAAAGAAGAGGAGAGAGTGGAGGAGAGAGAGAGGGAAAGAGAGAGGAGTGGAGAGGAGGAGAGAAGAGGAACAAGAGGAGAGTGAGGAGGGAGAGAGGGAACAGAGAGGAGGAGTGGAGGAGGGAGAGAGGGAACAGAGAGGCGAGGAAGACCCTAACCTTCGTGTCGGTGACAGGAGAGGTATAAACACTCAGGATTTAGCTGAGCTAGTCAGTAGCCCTCATCCCCCTCTCAGTCCCTCCATCCACCCCTTCCACTCTCCCCCTCCCCGTTTTAGAGCCCCCACCTCCCGAGTGGAGGAACCTCTGGACAGAGTGGGTGTGGCAGGGAGAGGACAGCCGTCCACAGCTCTGAGGAAAGTACTGCGCTCTATACACTCAAAGAGGAGAGAGAGGGGGGAGGAGAGGAGGGAGGAAGAGGAGGAGAGGGAGAAGAGGCGGGAGGAAGAGGAGAATGAGGAGAGAGAGAGGGAGGAGAAGAGGAGAGAGAGGGAGGAGGAGAGGAGAGAGAAAAGAGAGAGTGAGCAGGAGGAGAGGAGGAGAGAGAGTGAGCAGGAGGAGAGGAGGAGAGAGTGTGAGCAGGAGGAGAGGAGGAGAGGAACATCCTTTAAACTTCCTCCTAACCCTAAACCCCTACCAGTCCCTGCCCCAGTCTCGGTTTCAACCCCAAAGTCAGCCCCCCTTCTCCAGAGCAAGGCACCAGCAGAGGTCCCTGTCCCCCCTCCTACCTCCCTCCTCTCCTCTGCCCAACGTCCCAGCTCTTCCTCTCTCTCCTGTGGTCAAACGCCGGAGGGTGGAAGAGGACGAAGAGGAAGATAAGTGTGGGTCTCCTGAACTCTACGAGGAGGAGGAGGGAGGAGGAGGAGAGGAGGAGGGAGGGTTTGGGGAAAGTTTGGAGTTGGACACTCAGACTGAGAGAATGATTCTACTACAAGACCAGAGAGGGAGGGAGAGGGGAGAGAGAGGGGAGGAGAGGGAGAGAGGGGGGGAGGAGAGAGAGGAGGAGAGGGAGAGAGAGGCCGCTAACTCACAGCATGAGAGAGGGAACAAGGAGAAGGGCGTAGAGGAGAAACCAACCGATGTTAACCCACCGAACCCCTCACCAGGCAACAGTATCCATGGCAACCCCCATACCCATGGTTCCCATGACAACACTGCGCCCAGATACAACTTCTCCCTGACTGACAGCCAGATGGAACACGTCCTCGACGACCAGGTACACACACTCAACCACAGCCACCATGATGATGATGATGGTGGTGATGATGGTATTGGTGGTGGTGGTGGTGGTGGTGATGATGGTAGTGTACTCTTCCTCCCCCAGATCTTGGCAGGCGATAATGATGATGATGATGATGAAGCCCTCCCACCTCCTAGCGCACGCCGCTCCTCAGTGAGCAATGAGAACAGTCTAAACGGCAGTAGCAGCTTCCTATTTGACAGCCTGTACGACAGCTCCTTATTGGTTGGGCTTAGCCACGACTCTGACCAATCAGAGGAGGAGAAGGAGGAGGGGCCTGTTGCCATGGAGACCAGTCTCCTGTCCAACCAGCAGCGGCGACGCAGCGGGCTCCTAGCCAATCAGGAGGCAGAGGAACAGGAGGCCGTCCAATGGGGCGAGTCGTCCTTCAACCTATCAGAGTGGGGCGACTCTCTGCTGGTTGGAGAGCACTTCCTGGAGAGGCGGAGCCTGCTGAGACACAGGGAGCGACCGCAACACGAACAAGACTGCGGTCAGACAGACAGACCCCAACCTGACCACGGGGAAACAGAGCAACAAGGACCTAAACCACAACCACAGCAACGGTTTGACGGAGCGACCGCAACACAGCAGTCTGCTAGATGAACCCAAAGACAACCATAACCCTAACCAGACAGACAGATTGACACAGAACACTGGTGGAGCAGAGGTGGAACCTTCCTGGTCAGAGAGAGGGGGAGATGGAGGGATTGAGAAGGAGAGAGATGGAGGGATTGAGAAGGAGAGAGATGGAGGGATTGAGAAGGAGAGAGATGGAGGGAGTGAGAAGGAGAGAGATGGAGGGAGGAGAGGTGTTTGAGTGTGTGGGCAGTCTGTTAAAGACCTACCAGCATAGAGGATGGAGAGAGAGAGGAGAAAGAAGGAGAGGGGAGAAGGAGAGGAGAGGAGGAGAGGTGCAGGTGAACCCCTCCACTGTTAAAGCCTGGACTCAGACAGAGATGAGTGAGAGAGGAAAACAGAAGAAGAGAGGAGAGAGAGAAGAGGAGAGAGTCTGAACCCTCCCTCCACTGCAGCCCTGGACTCCAGGACATCTTCGATCGTTGGCCTAGCATGTCTGATCAGCCCTCACAACACACACACACTCTGCTTCCACCAGCTCACACACTCACACACCCGGTACAGATCCACACACTCACACACACAGCTGTTGCCAACCAAGAGACAGAGGACAGTTTGACTGGTCTGACAGGTCTAACAGCACTGGTACATGCTGAGGAGGACAGAGACACAGAGAGACCAGCTAGCAGCCACACAGAGACAGGAGAGAGCAGTGTGAGACGAGGGGAGACAGGGGGACACCTGGGGAGAGAACGAGGGGAGACAGGGGGACACCCGGGGGAGACGAGGGGAGACAGGGGGGACACCTTGGGGAGAGACGAGGGGAGACAGGGGGACACCTGGGGGAGAGACGAGGGGAGACAGGGGGACACCTTGGGGAGAGACGAGGGGAGACAGGGGGACACCTTGGGGAGAGACGAGGGGAGACAGGGGGACACCTGGGGAGAGACGAGGGGAGACAGGGGGACACCTGGGGGGAGAGACGGGGGAGACAGGGGGACACCTTGGGGAGAGACGAGGGGAGACAGGGGGACACCTTGGGGAGAGACGAGGGGAGACAGGGGGACACCTTGGGGAGAGACGAGGGGAGACAGGGGGACACCTGGGGGAGAGAGACGAGGGGAGATCATGGGGGGCTCATGGGGACCTCGTCCCCCCAACTCCAGAAACAGTCAAACTGACCACCTCCTCTGTCCAATCACCTCACGCCATGAGGACTATCAACCAACAATCACCTCACACCACGAGGACTATCCACCATTCAGCTCTCACCACCAGACCTCTCAACCAACCAACTCTTACTTCCCATCCTCTCAACCAATCAAATCCCACCCCTCGACCTATCCACCAATCAGCTCACTCCACCCACCTCCCTGCAACAGCAGCTGTGGCCCGAGTCCGAACAGTCAAGAAGCGACAACACCTTGGGAGAGACCGAGAGAGACCAGAACCCCACCTGGGGCAAACGAGGGGAACAGGACCACCTCGAGACAGAACAGGGGGACCCACCTCGGGAACCAAGAGACCCAGAACCCCCCTGGCGAAAACAGGGGCAAAGGCACCATCCCCGGAGAAACAGACCAGAGAGACGCCACCCCCACTTGAGGAGACCGAAGGGCCCCAGGGCAACACCAGGGGACCCTAACGAGGGGAGACATCGGGACAAACTGGGGAAAGAGACGAGGGGAATCAAGGGGGCTCATGGGACCTCTCCCCCAAAACCAAAACCAGTCAAAACTGACCACCACCCTTTCCATCACCTCACCCATGAGGACTATTAACCACCATTAACCTCCCCCACCAAAACCAACCCAAACATCCCCACCCTCGAACACACCAACCCCTCACTCCACCCCACATCCCTGACCAACCGCAGTCCCAACTTGGTCCCAACCTGAAACCAGATCCCAAAATGCACAACCATCTTAAACTCACCTCCCCCAAAACAGACCCTAAACCTCCCCCTCCCCCAAAACAGACCCCAAACCTCCCCCTCCCCCAAAACAGACCCTAAACCTCCCCCTCACCCCAAAACAGACCCCAAACCTCCCCCTCATCCCAAAACGCTGCTAGACTCTCCTCCTGTTCCCACAGCTCCCCCAATCCTCTCCCCCTCCTCCCCCCATCTCTGACTGACGAGGGCTTCACCCTCCAGCTCTCCCAGGGTGCATCTCTCTCTCCCAGCAGCCCTAGCGGTGGGCTGGCCATCATAGACGTGGCGAGCGACAGAACGCTGTTCTACACGTTTATAGAGGAGTGGAGGAGGAAGGAGAGGTACTCCCTCGTTCCCGCCTGTGGAATGACAGACGGGACACACGGAGGAGACGGCGGGAGAGGAGGAGACGGCGGGAGAGGAGGAGACGGCGGGAGAGGAGGAGACGGGGAGAGGAGGAGACGGCGGGAGAGGAGGAGACGCCGGGAGAGGAGGGTGGCAGCAGAGAGGTGACCATAGACACTCACACCAGGGCTAGAACTTCCTGGCGGAGGCTGTATTGAGTGGCTGTAATGCATGCCTCGTGCCCCATGATTATGGAGACTATATTATTTATCCCAAACCAGATTCATTTCTGAAGTTGTTCATTTGCTATGTCGTTTATTTATCATACACACAAATAGCCTAGTTTGATGTGAATATCAGTGAGAGCACGCAACTCCTCCAACAGCTGGTTGTGATGAAGACTTCAACAGCTGGTTGATTGAACTCTCCAACAGCTGGTTGATGAACTCTTCCAACAGCTGGTTGATGAAACTTCAACAGCTGGTTGATGAAGATTTCAACAGCTGGTTGATGAAGATTTCAACAGCTGGTTGATGAAGATTTCAACAGCTGGTTGATGAAGACTTCAACAGCTGGTTGATGAACTCTTCAACAGCTGGTTGATGAAGACTTCAACAGCTGGTTGATGAAGACTTCAACAGCTGGTTGATGAACTCTTCAACAGCTGGTTGATGAACTCTTCAACAGCTGGTTGATGAAGACTTCAACAGCTGGTTGATGAACTCTTCAACAGCTGGTTGATGAAGACTTCAACAGCTGGTTGATGAAGACTTCAACAGCTGGTTGATGAAGACTTCAACAGCTGGTGGATGAACTCTTCAACAGCTGGTTGATGAGCTCAACAGCTGGTTGAGACTCACAGTGGTGATGAACTCTTCAACAGCTGGTTGATGAAGACTTCAACAGCTGGTTGATGAAGACTTCAACAGCTGGTTGATGAAGACTTCAACAGCTGGTTGATGAAGACTTCAACAGCTGGTTGATGAAGACTTCAACAGCTGGTTGATGAACTCTTCAACAGCTGGTTGATGAACTTCAACAGCTGGTTGATGAAGACTTCAACAGCTGGTTGATGAAGACTTCAACAGCTGGTTGATGAACTCTTCAACAGCTGGTTGATGAAGATTTCAACAGCTGGTTGATGAACTCTTCAAACAGCTGGTTGATGAAACTCTTCAACAGCTGGTTGATGAAGACTTCAACAGCTGGTTGATGAGACTTCAACAGCTGGTTGATGAAGACTTCAACAGCTGGTTGATGAACTCTTCAACAGCTGGTTGATGAAGATCTTCAACAGCTGGTTGATGACTTCAACACGGTGATAAGACTTCAACAGCTGGTTGATGAATCTTCAACAGCTGGTTCAACAGCTGGTTGATGAAGACTTTCAACAGCTGGTTGATGAAGACTTCAACAGCTGGTTGATGAAGACTTCAACAGCTGGTTGATGAAGACTTCAACAGCTGGTTGATGAAGACTTCAACAGCTGGTTGATGAAGACTTCAACAGCTGGTTGATGAACTCTTCAACAGCTGGTTGATGAAGACTTCAACAGCTGGTTGATGAATCTTCAAGCTGGTGATGAACTCTCAACAGCTGGTTGATGAAACTTCAACAGCTGGTTGATGAAACTTCAACAGCTGGTTGATGACACTTCACAGCGAACTTCAACAGCTGGTTGATGAACTTCAACAGCTGGTTGATGAAGACTTTCAACAGCTGGTTGATGAACTCTTCAACAGCTGGTTGATGAACTTCAACAGCTGGTTGATGAAGACTTCAACAGCTGGTTGATGAACTCTTCACAGAGTGATGAAGCCCTTTTCACGACCGAGGTCAGATGGACCTTTCACACTGGTGACCCAAAGCAGTTGATGAAGCCCTTATCACTGTGAGACCCAGAGTGGATGAAGCTCACGCTGGTTATGACTGCCAAGCAGTGGAGCCTTATCTATGAACCACAGCGTGATGAACTCTTACACTGGTGAGAAGATCAGTGGTGAGACGACTTATCTACTGACCCAGAGTTCAAAGCTTTGATGAAGACTCACATGGTGATGAAGACTTCAACTGAAAGACTCAACAGTGTGAGCTTTCACATGGTGATGAAGCCTTTATCACTGAGACTCACAGAGTCGATGAAGACTTCAAGCTGGTTTAACTACTGGACAGATTCAAACTGTGATAACTCTTCGTGGTTGTGAACTCTAAGCTGGTTGATGAAGACTTCAACAGCTGGTTGATGAAGACTTCAACAGCGGTGATTATGAACTCTTCAACAGCTGGTTGATGAAGACTTCAACAGCTGGTTGATGAAGACTTCAACAGCTGGTTGATGAACTCTTCAACAGCTGGTTGATGAACTCTTCAACAGCTGGGTTTATGAAGACTTCCCAAAAGCTGGTTGATGAAGACTTCAACAGCTGGTTGATGAAGACCTTCAAACAGCTGGTTTATGAAGACTTCAACAGCTGGTTGATGAAGACTTCAACAGCTGGTTGATGAAGACTTCAACAGCTGGTTGATGAACTCTTCAACAGCTGGTTGATGAAGACTTCAACAGCTGGTTGATGAACTCTTCCCAGAGTCAGATGGAGCCCTTTATCTACTGGCCCAGAGTCAGATGGAGCCCTTTATCTACTGACCCAGAGTCAGATGAAGCCCTTTATCTACTGACCCAGAGTCAGATGAAGCCCTTTATCTACTGGCCCAGAGTCAGATGAAGCCCTTTATCTACTGGCCCAGAGTCAGATGAAGCCCTTTATCTACTGACCCAGAGTCAGATGGAGCCCTTTATCTACTGGCCCAGAGTCAGATGAAGCCCCTTTTTCTACTGGCCCAGAGTCAGATGAAGCCCTTTATCTACTGGCCCAGAGTCAGATGGAGCCCTTTATCTACTGGCCCAGAGTCAGATGAAGCCCTTTATCTACTGACCCAGAGTCAGATGAAGCCCTTTATCTACTGGCCCAGAGTCAGATGGAGCCCTTTATCTACTGACCCAGAGTCAGATGAAGCCCTTTATCTACTGACCCAGAGTCAGATGGAGCCCTTATCTACTGCCCAGAGTCAGATGAAGCCCTTTATCTACTGACCCAGAGTCAGATGGAAGCCCTTTATCTACTGACCCAGAGTCAGATGGAGCCCTTTATCTACTGGACCCAGAGTCAGATGGAGCCCTTTATCTACTGGCCCAGAGTCAGATGAAGCCCTTTATCTACTGACCCAGAGTCAGATGAAGCCCTTTATCTACTGGCCCAGAGTCAGATTAACTTTTGTATCAAATTTGTTTGTGTCTGTGTGCAGTTTGAATGTATGTGCCATCTAGCGTTAGCACAATGACTGGAAGTCTATGGGAACAGCTAGCTTGCTAGTTAGCATTGGCTTGAGAAACTACCTCTTAACTTCCTTCATACTGGACACAGAGACATACAAATGGTATCCAGGAGTTCATCAGATAAAGGGCTCGATTGGGGAAGGAGATAAAGGGCCTCGTTGGGGAAGGAGATAAAGGGCCTCGTTGGGGAAGGAGATAAAGGGCCTCGTTGGGGAAGGAGATAAAGGGCCTCGTTGGGGAAGGAGATAAAGGGCCTCGTTGGGGAAGGAGATAAAGGGCCTCGTTGGGGAAGGAGATAAAGGGCCTCGTTGGGGAAGGAGATAAAGGGCCTCGTTGGGGAAGGAGATAAAGGGCCTCGTTGGGGAAGGAGATAAAGGCCTCGTTGGGGAAGGAGATAAAGGGCCTCGTTGGGGAAGGAGTAAGGGCTGTGGAAGGAGTAAAGGGCTTCATTGGGGAAGGAGATAAAGGGCCTCGTTGGGGAAGGAGATAAAGGGCTTCATTGGGGAAGGAGATAAAGGGCCTCGTTGGGGAAGGAGATAAAGGGCCTCGTTGGGGAAGGAGATAAAGGGGCCTCGTTGGGAAGGAGATAAAGGGGCCTCGTTGGGGAAGGAGATAAAGGGCCTCGTTGGGGAAGGAGATAAAGGGCTTCATTGGGGAAGGAGATAAAGGACTTCATTGGGGAAGGAGATAAAGGACTTCATTGGGGAAGGAGATAAAGGACTTCATTGTCAAAATCCTGAACTATCCCTTTAAGGCCAAGTGGCCTTAACCCTAAAATCATGAAATTCCAGGTCTGACTCTCTCTTACACACACACACACACACACACACACACACACACACACACACACACACGACTACGTACGCTTATTCAGTGTTATCAATGTTTTCTATGATTGAGTCCTAGTTATTCATGTTTCTATGATGTGCGTAGGTCTTCCCCAGTGTTCCTTTGGAAGTGTGGCGTTAACAGGACTGGCTGTCTGCTGGGGAGGAACAGACTGTTACTTCATATCCCTACTACAGCAGCAGAGTACCGGTACCTTCACCATATCACTACTACAGGGCAGAGTACCGGTACCTTCACCATATCACTACTACAGGCAGCAGAGTACGGTACCTTCACCATATCACTACTACAGTGGCAGAGTACCGGTACCTTCACTATACCACTACTACAGGGCAGAGAGTACCGGTACCTTCACCATATCCACTACTACAGGGCAGAGTACCGGTAACCTTCACCATATCACTACTACAGGGCAGAGTACGGTACCTTCACCATATCACTACTAAAGAGCAGAGTACCGGTTACCTTCACCATATCACTACTACAGGCAGAGTACCCGGTACCTTCACCATATCACTACTACAGGGCAGAGTACCGGTACCTTCACCATATCACTACTACAGGCAGAGTACCGGTACCTTCACCATATCACTACTACAGGGCAGAGTACCGGTACCTTCACCATATCACTACTACAGGGCAGAGTACCGGTACCTTCACCATATCACTACTACAGGACAGAGTACCGGTACCTTCACCATATCACTACTACAGGGCAGAGTAGTACCGGTACCTTCACCATATCACTACTACAGGGCAGAGTACCGGTACCTTCACCATATCACTACTAAAAGGCAGATACCGGTAACCTTCACCATATCCACTACTACAGGGAGATCCCGGTACCTTCACCATATCACTAAAAGGGCAGGAGTACCGGGGTACCTTCACCATAATCACTACTACAGGCAAGTACCGTACCTTCACCATATCACTACTACAGGCAAGTACCGTACCTTCACCAAAATCACAAACTACAGGGCAAGTACCGTTACCTTCACCATATTCAACTACTACAGGTCAAGTACCGGTAACTTCACCAATCACTACTACAGGCAGAGTACCGGTACCTTCACCATAATCACTACTAAAGGGGCGAGAACCGGAACTTCACCATATCACACTACAGGGCAGAGTACCGTCCCCTTCACCATATCACTATACAGGCAAGTACCGGTACTTCACCATATCACTACTACAGGCAAGTACCGTACCCTTCACCATATCACTACTACGGGCAGAGTACCGGGTCCCTTTCCCAACCCATATCACTACTACAGGCAAGTCCCGGTACCTCCCCATATCACTACTACAGGAAAGAGTACCGGTACCTTCACCCATATCACTACTACAAGGGCAGAGAAACCGGTACCTTCACCAATCATTTAATTTAACAGGCAGAGTACCGGTACCTTCACCATATCACTACTCCCAGGGCAGAGTACGGAAAACCTTCACCATATCACTACTACAGGGCAGAGTACCGGTACCTTCACTTTCACACTACGGGCAGAGTACCTACCTTCATCACCAATCACTACAAGGCAGAGAGTTACCGGTACCTTCACCAACACTACTACGGGCAGAGTACCGGTACCTTCACCATATCACTACTACAGGCAGGTACCGGTACCTCACCATACACTACTACAGGGCAAACCGGTACCTTCACCATTCACTACACAGGCAGATACGTTACCTCACCATTCACTACTAACAGGCAAAAAACCGGTCCACCTTCATATTAACATACAGCAAGTACCGTACCTTCATATCACTAACGGCAAGTACGTCCTACCATATCACTCTACAGGCAGTCTACCTCCCCATCTCTCAGGCAGCCCGCCCCTTCCTATCATCAACAGGAACCACCATATTACAAGGCAAGGTCGGTTTACCTTTTAAGGGCTCCGGACTTCAATATACACTACAGGCAGAGTACCGTACCTTCACCAATCAACTACACGGGCAGTACGGTTCCCTTCCACACTATGGCACCCTACCCGCTCTGTCTAGGACCCCTCCTCACCGTTCCTATGACCGCATAATTCCGGTTAAATCAAAAAATTTGACAAAGCTCCTTTGATATTTGACCATATGGGGGTGTGACGGCGTCTATTATAAAACACGATGTCAGAGTTACTAGTGGTTTCTCCCTTAGTCTGAGTGAATGGTCCAAAACTCCACGTCCAGAACGAGGGAGAGGTACTTAAAGAGATGAAAGAGAAAGGGGTCCGTCGGGAATACCACGGGGCAGATTGGCCAGTTAAAAGGGAAGGAGGTAAGGAGGCCCCTAGGTAAGGGCTAGAGCCGAAGTTGAAAAATCCATAAGAGAGAGACAAATTTGAAAAGACGAGGTAGCAGATGTGACCCGGGTAGTAGGAACCCCCATGTAGAGAAGAACAAGTAAAACGGGGTAGAATACAGATAAGGAAGATGGTTAGAAAAACCCAAGGGTAGAGAAGAGAGACAGAGGTAAGAGAAAAGACAGGGGTTTGTAGGGGAGAGAACAGAGGTAGTTGGGAGAGCCCAGGTATAGAGAAGAGAACAGAGAGAGAGAGAGCCCAGAGGTTAGGAGAAGAGAGACGAGGAGAAGAGGAGCAGAACAGGA